CATTTGTATCTTCACCCCCCCTCCCTCGATGTTCCCTTCAGCCTCTGGCACTTTCACAGCCATCTCGGCTTCAGGCACTTCGGCTTTTCCCTTGGGGAGGGAGACGTCCGCCTCGACCTTTGGCAGGGAGATCCCCACTTCTGGCGTTTTGAGTTTGGGGACCTTTACGCTAGGCACTTTCATTCCAGGCATTTTGATTTTGCCCTTCTCTGTGGCCTCCACATCCAGGCTGGGGGCCTCCACTTCCACTTTTGGCAGCTTAATGTCAGCTTCAAATTCTGTTGTGGGCAGTGTGACTTCCCCTTTCATTCCTGTTTTGGGGAGATCTCCTTCCATAGAAAGGTGTCCCTCTGGGACACCTTTCCCCTTGGGCAGTGAAATTCCAAACTTGGGCATTTGGAACTTTAACATTTTGAACTTACCATCGTCATCTTCTAGTCTACCTTCTGAACCCTCAGGAGGAATCTTGCCTGATGGAGTCTTTGTTTCTAGGTCTGGAGTTTGCAATCCCAAAACAGCCTGGCCTGTTGGGGACTTAATGTCACATACTGAGATGTTTATATCAGCAGTAATTTCTCCCATCTTCAACTCAGATTTGGTAGCCTTATGGTCGGCTTTGGGAAGGGAGATATCCACTTTAGGCATGTTGATGTCCATCTCGAATTTGGGCCCTTCAATATGTGGTAATGTGTGTTTGCTGGAAATAGTTGTTTCTTTTCCTTTTTCATCTTTCCGATATTGGGTTTCAGTTTGTAATTTCTCTCTTGTATCTTTTTGCTTTTTTTTCCTTATTTTTGGAATATTTTGTGAAACTTTCATTTGAGAGTCTGAAATATCTTTTGTTTGAATTACTGCTGTTTTCATCTGTGATGTTGTAACTGTAGGTTCCTGTTTTGTAAATTCTACATTGGATTTTGCCTTCTTCTCTTTGGACATTGGAATAGTTAGTTCAACATCGGGGTATTTTCTTGTATGTTGTGGAAGTTGAAATATTGTGTCTGATACTTCTCTTTTTGGCTCTTGTTTTTCTCTTGTTTTTCTATCTATATCAAATGAAGTAGTATACTCTCTTGTCATTACATCAGGGAGCTCCATAGTAGTATCATTTTCATATTCTTTGAATGGATTTACTTCATATGGTTCTTGTTTACTTTTGTGCATCTTGAATCCAATAGTTGGAAATTTTAGTTTCTTTTGGCTTTGTTTTTTAATTTTTCCATGAGTTTCCTCTGGCTGGAATTGTGATTCTGTATCCGTGCTTGTGGGAGAAACATCTGGAATGCCATGTTCATATGCATCTGATGTACTTCGAGATCTTCTGTGTCCCAAAATCTTCTTTCCCTTAATGGACTGGAATTTTGGCCATGAGAGTCTATCCTTTTTGGTTCTTTTTTGTCTTCCCACTCTTTGTTTTACAATTAAGTTTGTTTTATCTTCTTCTGAGATCGTCTTCTCAGATATTTCCAATGTATCCCTTCCCTAGGAAAGACAATTTCTAAAATGAATATGTTTATCTATTAAAAAATGTATACTGTGTATTATTTATATCAATTTTATTTCTTATTTACAAAGCTTATAGGGTGCTACAATCAACTCCCCAAATATATAATTTGAATTAAAACAAAAATATATAGTACAAGCAATCATGGGCATCAGGAAGAGAATATTTCAAAAAACACAATTTAAAAAGTTGCTCATCCAGAGGGATCTGTCACTCGAGGCTTGGTAAAATAACTACCAACTATTGACTTTCTAAAGATCAGAAGGGAGGGGACCATCCAAATGTCTGGTGGAATACTATTCCAGAGAAGGGGGTAAATGAGAAAAAAAGGTATGCTTCTGTAGTATCCATAGGTGGTAGTGTCTGATCAAGGGGGTATATAACCTCTCTACTAGATGTTACTACTGTAGGTGGGCAGCTGTCATCAGGAGAAGGCAATCCAGGCCCTGAACCATGAAGGGCTTTAAAGGTGACAACCAGGAACTTGAATTGTACCTGGAAGCCAACTGGCAATTGGTGTGGCTGTGTAAGTATCAGTGTTATATGGGGAACTTAAGATATGCCCTGAACTTTGAAGAATCAGGATAGAAAGAGTTTTGATACTTCTGAATATTGGAGAAGACTTGAGAATACCATAGATAGCCAAGAAAATAAACAAATGGATCATAGAAGAAATTAATCCAGAGTTCTCATTTGAGGTACAAATGACAAAACTCAAATCATCATTCTTTGGAAACCAAGGGTTAGATATAAAATTCTCCAAGATACGAAGGAAAGAGGAGGATTGGGATTGCCTGACTTTAAATTATATTTTGCAGCCTGCTGTTTGGTTTGGATGAAAGAATGGCTGTTGTTAAGACATAAGAAAATGTTAGAATTAGAAGACCACAACCTGAGGTTTGGGTGGCATGGTGTTTTATGGTATGATAAAGTGAATATAGACTTCAAAAATCATCATTAGGAATGCCATACTGAGAATAAGAATAGATATAAACCCAGGCTGTGCCCAAAAATACTTTTATTGGTCTCAGCACAAGAAGTGTTTTATAGAAAAGAAACAGCAGGCCATAAAAAAAAGAAAAGGTAAATATATGAAGATTTGCTAGTACAGGAAAATGGAGAACTTAAGATGAAATCAAGAGAACAACTAACTGCAGAGGGATTTACTTTTCAGTGGTTTTCATATGCACAATTAAGGGAGAGGTTTAATATGGATAAAAAGCTACCAGGTATAGAACAAAATATAACAGGATTTGAAATGGAATTACAATATACAAATGATGAATGTGTAATTGGTAAAATGTACAAACTTTTGCTGAGATTCAAGATGGAAGAAGAACAAGTTAAACAGTGCATGATAAAGTGGGCTAAGAATTTTGGTTATAATATACAGATGGTTCAATGGGAAAGAATGTGGTTAAAAGAAGAAATTCACATTGTCTTATAACTTAAGAGAGAATGTTTATAAAATGATGTACTGTTGGTAGATACCAGTTTAACCAGATAAACTATCTAAGATGTATAAAAGGTACTTCTAATTGTTGCTGGAAATGTGAAAAACATGAAGGGACATTTTATCATGCATGGTGGACTTGTGAAAAAGTGAAAAAAATATTGGATTCAAATACACACAATGATGCAGGAAATCTTAAAAATTAACATTCAGATGAAACCAGAATTTTTCTTACTAGGACTTATGAGTAGTCAATTAGAAAAGACTCATGGATGATTGATTTTATATATGGTAACTGCAGCAAGGTTATTATATACACAAAGATAGAAAAATACAGAAATACCCACAATGGAGGAATGGACTGTGAAGATGGTAGAACTTGCAGAAATAGCTAAATCGACTTGTTTGATTAGGGAAGGAACAATAGCCACTTTTATAAAAGACTGGAAACCCTTTATGGACCTTTTGCTGAAAATGGATAAAAATGAACTGGTGATTTCTGGATTTGCTGATTAAAAAAGGCTATACAGTGTATATGAGGAGAAGGGAACTTTGTTATGTAATTTTGAAGGGGGGAAATGGTACCAAGTATGTCTATAACTGCTGTAAAGAAGATTGTAAAGAAGATTGGAAATCACTTCAAGTATCTTTTTTTTCTTTTTCTTTTCTTTGTATTGTTTTCAACACTTTTTCATTATCTTTCTTCGTTTCCTGCTTTTCTTCTATTTTTTTGTGTTTATCTTTTAACTTTATATATATATATATATATATATATATATGTATGTATGTATGTATGTATGTATGTATGCATGCATGTATGTATATGTATGTATATATAAGGTGCTTCACAAGGCTCCTCACAAGAAAGAAGCCATTCCCTTCCTAATGAGCAACACCAGCATTGGTTCTATTTAAGAAGAGCAGCAAACTCAAGCCTCTCGGTTGGCAACTACCATCCATTTACTCAGACTCCCATAACTCTGGCTTTGGACCCAGACCAGCTGTCAAATCTCCTGCAACATTAGATTCTCGGACTTCGTTTTGACTACTCTTGTGCCTGCTGCTTTGGATTTGGAACTCTTGTAAGGCACGCTTGCAAGCTTGGGACTCACTGTGTGTGCATGTGTGTTTGTGCTCACGCTTCGTCTGCTTCTTGGGTATTTGTTTCACAAAATTAGCAGTAAAGCCTGCAACCACCTGTCTGTGTGTTTGTGTGTGTTTGGCCTGGAACAGGGCAGTTTCCTAGATTTGGGAGCCCTTCAGATAGTCACTTATGACTTAGTCACCTCACAGCTTGACTACTGCAATGTGCTATAGATGGCATTGCCCTTGAAGACCACCGGAAGCTTCAACTGGTCCAGAATGCAGCAGCACTAGCAGTGATGGGCATGCCTTGATATGCCCATGTAACACCTCTGTTTTTTTTTAATTAAAATTTTATTTTTAATATTTATTGTGATTGGATTATTGGTGTCTAGCAGTTTCGAAGGTATATAGTCTAGTCACGGACTCCCCTGTACAGGTAGTATTGTTCTGATATATTTGTTGAAGACGACTGTACTATGCTACTGAAGGCCAGACAATAAGAAGTAGCAGGTGAATGTGTGAATGAGAAGTGCCTTTTTTTGTACAGGTAGTCCTCATTTAGTGACCACAACTGGTTCCAGCAACTTGGTCATTAAGTGAAGTGATCGCTAAGTGAAAATCTTGTGACCGCGATGATGCTTACTATTTTACTCCAGCTTTCCTTTGCTTTACACAGCCAGAAGGGTACAATCCTAAACAGTCGGGTGAGCCCAAATGGCAGGGAAGGTTTTCAGAACTTGACTTATGAGGAAGCTGGATAAAAGGGCCAATCTTATCACCCTTTTTGCCTACTCCCCTGCCCTTTGGAATGCTCACTTCAGTGCTGGGATAATTAGCAAGAAGGGAATTAATCTTTGAATTGTATTCATTGGAGAGGAAGGGATTACAAGAGAGTAAGCAGTCACACAATGGAGAATACACATTGAAAGGAATACGCTAGCGCTGGCGGTTTGGAAGCAACGTAGGAGACACAAAAGCCTCCAATTTGAAATTGATTAGGGTCTTAGTGTCAGGCAGCAGTGCAAGAGGCTTCTATCCAACTAATTAAGATCACAAAGCTGAGTTTGTTAATTTGGGGTTAGCACATTTTAGGGATGCACTGCACTGCAGAGAAATGCAGTTCAGAAAGAGATAGCTTGTTTAGGCAATCTCTCCACTCTGTGAGGGGGTAAAAAGGAAAAAAAAATGGGTAAGACACAGGACAACATGTACTAACTGACCGTAATGAGGAACACATGACTGAGAAACACTGCGAAGGTTGTAAATGCAGGTATTGGTCTCAGAGTTACTTTTTCATCACTGTCATAACTGCGAATGGTCTCTATGTGAGGCAGCTGCTAAATGAGGACTACCTGTACACAATTATAGACTGATTGTGGAAGAGTAACTTTCACATCACTGTGCTTTTCTGTGGGCTGTTCTGAACTTCAGAGTTAAGGGAAGTCACTACTAAAACACCCTTTTTAGAAGTGGCGTCTTTTCTGGAGAATTCCTTTCCTCATTTTGTCCAAGTGCAAACTTTATGGTCCTCTTGGTGGCAGCACCTTGTTTTTGGAATTTTCTTCCTTTGTCTTTTCAGGTGTAAAACTTCGTGGTCTTTATGCTGCAGATAAAAATGGTTTTCTTGGGCTTCTAATATTTTTTACAGAGATTAGTTTCATTGCTGTTTTTAGATCTGCTAGTGCTATTTTACTTATTTGATTATGGTTTATGATATATAATATGAAATGACATTGCTAAAGATGCTTTATGAATTGAACAATGAAATATTGTATTAAATGGCTTCATCCATTAAATAAATAACTTGTTTTAATTTCTTTTTAAAAATGGGCTTCCCCTCATTATTAAATAAACAGACCCCATCACCCCAAGATGCTTTTTATAGCTGGTATTAACAATTGCTTTAGTGTGTTTTTATATATTGTCTTTTTGTTAACTTTATAGTGAGAAAAAGTTGTCTTATTTTCAAATAAATCCTGAGCAGAAATCCAGCAGACCAAGAGCAAACTGAGTGGCTTTACATTAGTCACTTTTTCTCATCTTAACTTTGCAGGGATATAGTGAGGATAAAATTTGCTGAGGGGAGAGGAGATAATTATTTTCATTGCCTTAGCCATTTTGAAGAAGGATAAATTATGTACATAATTGTAATACTGTAAGATAAATTTGTAATCAAGAAAAGAAAACAAAAGTGCATATTTCCTTCTTTTTCATCATTTATTTTGCATATACATATACATATACAGGATGTACCAAAACTCAGGGCCCATGGGCTAATCACAATATGTTTTATTTATTAATATTTTTTTCAGAGAAATTGTTACTGTACTTAGGAACATTCAAAGATCAAGTATCAAATGAGTAAAGAAGTGCTTAGAAGAAAATGGCAACCAATTCAAACATTTAATGTAATTTATATAAGAAATTATCCATGGAGCATGACTTTTGGAACACCCTGTATATTCAGTGTACTTATTCTAGGGAAGAACCAGGAGCTAAGCAGGCCAACCAAGGTCTGTCCTTAAAAAAATCAATCCTCTGACTCCTCAAATTTCTGAACTTTCAATAGGCATTCCTTACATACCATCAAGCATATTTTGACTAGGAACCTGCTTTTAAAAAACCTGAGATTGTACTTGACAATACCATATACAGAGTATTTCCTTTATTTTCACAGAAATTGTGATACTCACAATACAGAATAACACCTTTGCCTCAAATGTAATTTCCATTTGGATACGGAGGGGAGACTTTAAAAAAACTCCTAAAATTACTTCAGTGATGGCTAGATTTCCATGATCTACAGCTTAATTCACAAATTTAATAATAAATAAATTAAATAAATACATAATTCAAGAACAATATTACCTGACTTAATTTTTCCTTTTTGGACTGTGTTTCAGAATGTATTGTTTCCGGCTCATCTTTCCCAACAAGTTTTCTTTTAAGATTGAACTGCACTTTGTATGGCTCGGAATACTGTAGTATTTTAAGTGCATCTTCATATTTGATATTATCAAAAAAGATTGTGGCACTCAAAAGCTGATCACCTGGAAGAAAGACAACAGAAACAGGGCTTTCAGAATATCAGATAAGTCCAACAGTTCCTTGCCTGAGTTTGCAAGGTATACTCCCATTCATTCACTTTTTAAAGGTATATGCTATTTTACCGTGCCCGTAGAATGTCCATCGTTCAATAGGCATGCATACTTTTTACAAAGTACTGTATGATTATTTTTTAATGCGTATTTTAAATAATTATCATTTTCTTAGTTAATGATATTAAGAGAAAATGTAAATGTAATACAAGAGCAATACTGTACCTTCTCTTAGACTAAATAGTTTTGATGCTGGGGACTCCTTCAGCACTTGCTTCACAAATATGCCTTCAGCTCCCCCACCAGCCACGCTAAATCCACTTGCACCAGATTCCACTTCTGTTTGCAATGTCACTTCCATAGATTCCTAGTAATTCCAAAAGTTATGTTATTAAATCTCATCTCTAAATTAGCTCATTCTTCAATTCCTTTATATCATAATATCACTCATAGTGTCATGAACATAAACCTAAACTTGGCTGTATCATACAGAAGCATCACACATAAAATTTACTAAAGAACCAAGGACATTTCCTGGCAGCTGAAAGACAAGCAAAATTATATAACAGATAGCAAAGCTTTTTAGAGATTACATTTATTACCTGCGTGCTGCATTAGTACTGTGAATAAGCCTATCACAAGAGCAATGCTTAATCAGAATGTACAATTTGACAAGAAAGTATTAATATTTCTTAATGATAGGCAGATAAAGATCTCTTACAAGCTTTCTGATACAAACATCTTTCTGGTATTTTTGAAATGCAAAATAAGTGAAATGTCTACCCTGAATGCCATAAATACCCATGATTTTTTTCAAATGCCACTTATTGTTCCTGAAAAAAACTCACAACACTGATCCTCATTACTCTGGATGTTGTGACAACAAAATTTATAGACACCAGCAACTCATAAAATTATAAAATGTATTGGTTGAAAAGGACTGTATTGGTCTGCCTTTTCTTCTATGTAGTAAGTCAGGTACCTGTAGGGTGCTATCATATCTTGCCTTAGTTTTCTCTTTTTTAAGCTAATCATGCCCAACTCCTTTATTCATCTCATACAGCTTGCTTTCCAAACTGCATGTCAGCCTGCTAAGTATTGTCTGAACCTATTCCATTTTCTCCCTGTCCCTTTTAAGGTGGGATGTGTGGCCTGACCAAAGAAATATTACTTCCTGTAACTTAGATGCAATACTTCTGTTAAAACAGGCCAAGACTGTATTGACCTTTTTAGCAGTTGTATCATTCTGCTTGCCCAACTAGTGGTTTACTAGTACTCATAGATCCTTCTCACATTCCTTAATTTTCAGTATTTAATTTTCAGTGCTATACCCATAAAGAATATTTCATCTGGATCCTAAAAAAATGTTTGATCTTTGCATAGGATAATTATATTACTTTAAAAATGGAACTATTAATGGCTTCTTCCAGATGGGATTTTATCTTCTACAGAATCTAGTTTTATTATCATAGTGCTTTAAATGTTATCACCTTTATTTAGTAAAATGAACATTTAGGACATCAGTGGCTATATTTGATAAAATTCCAAATGACTTCAGCCACTTGCAAATCCTGTTTTATTTACATAGGTGTTGCTGTTCAGTTGTAAATGAATCAGGCATCAAGGTAACTTAGGTAAACAGTTCCATTGTGGAAAATAAATGCATACTAATCTTCCCATACAATTTGATTTCCAGCCTTGCATTCTTTCAAATAGATCAATGCCAGAAAACCACATGTGGGACTACTGGACTTAGTCACATATACTAAGAGCTGATATAAAACTGTGATTGGAGAGCCCAAATAATAGATTTTTATATTTAAAAAGACTGGTTTAATTGTTCAAGGGCCAGTTAGTTTACCAGCCTGAATTAAAGAACTCTTATACTACCAATTAATCTCTGGATAGATTTTGGGAAATTATATATTCTGTATTTGTCTCCATCTTTAAAACAGAAATAATGTTTCTCAAAATGATAATGGGAAATTATCTCTTTTATCTAAAAAGTGTTTTAAACCACACAGATTACAACAATCAATAGAATTACAACTATAATAGTAGTATAGTGAATTATAACTAGTGAATTATAACAATCTAACAAAGGGAATCTATGCATAAATTCCAGCAGGATTATTTTTTGGATTTATCAGGAATGATTTCCCTCTTTGGATCAGGATTGTAACTGCGGCATTAAATCAGTTAATGTTGTTTGCCAGTTTGGATAGCTCCAATCACTTATTCTGTGCAAGGGACTGATCCTAGCCGCAATAGTGCTATCAGTGCTGACTGGGCCAATCCTTTGCTGTGAACATGTCCAGGGCCGAGTGTAGAAGCATTAACAAAATGCAGAATATGAAAGTGGGTGCAGAATTCACATGACTTGCTTTATTTTAAAATTATGTTGAAGGGACAGAATAACAGGGTCTTCTGAAATTTCAGCAAGTGATGAATGAAATGAAAATTTCACATGGAGAAGTAGTTGTTTAACATCTCTACCTAACTAATGCAAGTAAAGTATCAATTGTCATCTAATGGGACCCAGGACTTTCAAGCATTCTAGCACAATGCTTTTCTATATTGAAAGACACACCTGAAGTTTAACAGGTACTTAATCTCACCTGTGAATCACTCATTTTGAAGACAGAATCTCTTCTTTGTCTGTTCTCTATATCTTGCTGAAGCTGGAAACAAACATATCATCTTTAATGCTTAGCTGTGGTAAATTTGCAGCAGATCATGTGAAACTCTGTCAGCTGTTACTAGCTCTTAATTTATTTATTTAGTTAGTTTTATGGATTTATAGGGCCGCCCAACTCAAACAAAAGGGACTTAGGACACCATACAGTGCAACAGAAACAAATAATAAAGAAAAACAACCATATAACATTAAAAAATAAAATAAAATATATGAAATATAAAATGGCAAACAAAGAGGATAATTAGACAAGCAAAAGGGGACTCCACCCAACAGGACCCAAATGCCTGGGGAAAAGCCAGTTTTTAACAGTTTTTCTCAAGGCAAGCGGAATTGGGTCCTGTCATTATTGTGCGGATATCATTCTAGAAAACAAGAGCAGCCACTGAAGGCATACTTCCTAGGCCCCATAAGATGGCGATGTTTAAGAGAGGGAACCTGGAGCATGCCCTCCCTATGAGAACATGTAGGGCGGGCAGATGATCTTGGGAGAGGGTGGTCCTGCCAATAACCCGGTTGCATACCACGTAGGGCTTTAAGTGTCATAGCCAGCATCTTCAATTGCATTCAGAAGCCTATGGGGAATCAGTGCAGCACTTTGACTTGCATGGCAGAGTAGTGGTATCACATGGGTGTAATGAGCTGTGGCCATAACTACCTATGCCACTGCATTCTGGACCAACTGAAGCTTCCGTATGAAGCTTCTGAAGCTTTCAATGACAGTTCCTCATGCAGGACATTTCAATAATCCAATCTGGAGATGACTAAGGTGTGAATTACCACGAGCAAAGTTTCTCGGTCCTCATCAGCAGAGGAAATGATGGCAAATTAGAAAATCAAGTCTATCTGAAAACAACTCACACTAACCAAGTGCTCCACTATCAAATTAACAACCCAATCTCCCACAAGAGGAGCTGTGTAAGACCATTATTCAGACAAACACAAACATACTGCAGCAATCCAGAATACCAGGAGGAGGAAACAGACCATCTATATAGCATCTTCCAAAAAAATGGATACCCACACAACTTTATCAAAAGTGCCTGACCATACAACCTGCTACAGCACAACCAGTACAACTTATGAAAAGGGTAACACTCCCATACATCAAAGACATCTCAGAAACAACCAACAGAATACTACAACCACACAGCATCACTGTGGCACACAAACCAACTAAAGCCTTCCAAAATACCTTAAGCAAACCAAAAGACCAAAAAGAAAAAATAGGAATCATTCACAACATACAGTGCAAGGATTATAACAGCCTCTATGTAGGACAGACAAGCAGAAGACTAGCAGAGCACATCCATGAACACCAACTAGCAGTCAGAAGACATGATGAAAACTCCTTAATCTCACAACATATGGATAGACTCAACCACAGTTTCAACTGGGATAGTATTAGCATCTCAGACGAAGCCAAATCCAAAATGTTAGGAAATTCCTAGAAGCTCGGCACTCAGACAAATCAGCCATCAATAGAGATAAATCAGCCATCATAGAGATAAACTGCATTTACACACCATTCAAAAGATCAATAAAAAACTAGGAAGGAAACAGACTAGAACACATCCCCTCCAGCAACTAACACTAAGATAAGCAGGGAATAACACCAGACAAACAACCAGGCAGAAAACAATACTGTAATCAAGGAACCACCAAGGAGGAGACCACACCCCCACCAAAACTGGCACAGCAAGCTACTATGTATAAGCAGGCAGCAAACCCCACACTCACTCACACTGATGATGTTTCCTAGTTGGGTAATGAAATGTCTGCAAGCAAATAACCAAGCTCAGAGGGCACCAAGAACTCCAAAGTACATATGGATCACCATAACCTTGAACATCTACAAATCACATGAAAGCTTAATTAGTGCCAAGTCTATGGTCTCTTTTCTTTTCCCATTTTAATTTCGTCATCTCATATGTGCTCCAAGTTCAAAATAAATGGGCTGATGCTCTGTCTAGAGACTCTAAATATTGGGGATGATTCTGAGGAGCTTCAGCCCTAAAGCTGCAAAACTTTGCTGCCACTTTGGGACCTACCCTCTTACAGAATGAACTTCAGCAATTCGAGAAAGGGATGCGTATACTTAAACCCAGCTCTGGTAGCTCAAGTCAGTTATGAGCCATTCTTGGAACTCTCTGTTTAAAACCCAGGATGGACTTTTATGTCACTGAGGTCATCTCTACTTATCTCCAACTGAGTTACTGGTGTAAGTGATATACTTGGCTCACAAAATACCAGCAGCAGGCCATTTGGGATTGCACAAGACTCTTCATTTGATCACCTGGGATTTTTGGTGACTCTGCATTAAATTTAAAGTCGAGTGGTATGTTGCCATCTGCCCTGTTGCCTATAGGCAAAAGACATCCTTGGTTGGAAAATCTGTGGCATTACTCTGTTACTTATGCTAACTGGCTCTTGGAATACCATCTCCATGGGCTTTATGAGGGACCTCCCACTGTCTCAAGGCCAGATCATCAACCTCATGGTATGGTAGTTGATCACTTCACTAAAATGGGACACTTTAACCCGAGTAGGATTATCCACAGCCAAAAGAACTGGGCTACTATTCCTCTGCAACACTATTTGTTTACACAGATTGCAGACTGTATTGTCTCAGATTAAGGCCTTCAGTTCACAACCAGATTCTGGAGAACTGTGTTTAAACTATTGGAGATATCAATAGTTTAATAAATTGCTAGGCTCACTGTGCTGACAACTCCATGTTGTCAGCAGCACAGTGCAAGTGCAAAAGCATACACCACTCTCTGAGCCAGCAGCTTCTATGCTCTCCTGTCTGTCCCTCTCTGTGCTGGCAACTCTGTGTACAAATGCACATAATATTCTACTGTCCCTCACTCTCTATGTCAGCAACTGTGTGCAAGTGCACACACAATCCTTGCTTGACTCCTGCTCTTCATGCTGGGAATTTGGTATATAAGCACAGTCATCTACTCTTTTGCCTTCAAAGCTGGGAGCTTCAGCACCTTCTATGTTTCCCTGTGGCTAGACCACAAAAACTGGCATACTTTGGATGAGAATTACTTTCCCTTTAAAAAGACCCAACCCCTTAAATTTATTATATATATATATATTTATTTCCCATTACTTTAAGCACCTTTGCAGCTTTCCCTTTCGTATCTGAATCATAGTGTCATATGCAAGTCATAATAAGGATATTCTTGTAGAGTGTACAGGCAAGGAAGAAATGACTGTTTCACTGGCCAATCAACAATTAATTTTGCCCTTAAAGTTAAAGGGGCTAAGGAAGGCAGCGATCATGGAGTCAACGCCTCCAAAGGCTTACAGATTGTTGCCATAACTAAAATGTTTACTATGAAATCTTTCATTTTGAGTCTTACCTTTTTGTTAAAATATTCATCTTCTATGCAATACTCATACACTGGAGATGATCCTTGTGGCCTAGGTCGTATACTTTCAGTTGTCACTTCACTGATCTATAGAAATGGAGAAAGAGAAACACCATTAGCTTGCCTCTTATTTCCTAAACCATGCAAAACAACATTTGGGATTTTAATCCTATGTGCTAGGAAGGCTGTCAGTGCAGAAAGAATAAGGTTGGAAATTTTAAAATAATTTCTCTTCAGTGAAAAGTGTAAAAACTAAAAGAGTTTCATATGAGGATTATGGTAGAGAACCCACATTTAGAAGCGACATACAATTCTGCAGCTAGGGTGTTTTTTGCTTTCATGTGAATTTCATGGGCTTTAAAAAACGATTGTCCAATGTGAGAAACAAAATGGTGGATTATACCACTCGTTAATTTGATCCAGTAGGATACTGATATACATAATGCCAAATTCTTATTAAATTAGCCAAATGGATAGAATCCAGGTAATCCTCACTTAATGGCATTAATTAGGACCGGAATTTCTGTTGCTAAGTGACGCGGTTGTAAATCATAACGTCATATGACTGCACCACTTAGCAATGGAAATTCCAGCACTTGTTAACTGAATCACCACAGGTTGTTAAGCAAGGACGTCATGTGGCTGCCATTTGTGACCTCCTGCTGGCTTTCCCATTGACTTTGCTTGTAGGAAGCCAGCAAAGAAGTCACAAATGGTGATCATGTGACTGTGGGATGCTGTGATATTATAATAGCAAGCCGGGTGCTGTTCATGATTGCGTGACTGCAGGGACACTGCAACTGACGTAAGTATAAGGACCAGTCATAAGTATCACTTGTTCAGCACTGTCGTAAGTTCAAACAGTTGCTGAACAAGTGGTCGTTAAATGAGGACCACCTGTATGTCCTTATCCTCTTTACCTTTATACAGTCAAGGTTTCTGATGTGCCTTACAATTTTCACACTGGCTTTTGAATGATCTTCACTACTACCTTTTAGGAAAAAGGCAGTTACTGATACATTTCCAATTTCATATGATCCACCACCTCAGAAAAGCAGGAAGTTCCTGTTGCCAGGGTTGTTCCATATGCATATCTGAGCAATCATATCCACGAGGAATCAGTAGATGAATGCACAAGTCATAACTGCATGTATTATCTGCTTTGCATATTATATTCAAATATAAAGATGCATCCTCATAGTATACATGAACATAAAATAAGCTGACTACACAAAGCTTCTGGGGAACTTCAAAGACATTGCAGTGGTTGTTCATCCATTCACTGAAGTGAAAATACCCTTAGATGAATAATTCTGCAATTGCAAATCTGATATTCTTATCTTTCCATTTTTCCTTTACCATAATATATTTTCTGTTTAATTCCTGGTTTCTTAATTTGCTGAGAGGCATGTTTTACAATATTTAAACTCCTTTAAGGTGTATTCTTATATTTAACACAGTGAGGCTTATTTCCAAGTAAAAATACATAGGATTTTGTTGTTAGTGTCTTACAGCAATACCTTACTGAATGAAGAAACAAAACTCCCTTTCTAGCAAGGTGTTCTGCTAAATGTATCATGCATCTCTGTTAGATACTCTGCTAACATGGCCCATGGATTTTTTTTTTTTTTTAGAAGGATCTAGTTTAGTTTAATCTGGGACTGAAACTGTTCTGGTTCAAGTTAATAAAAACTTGATAATGATTTCTGAATATTTTCAATTAATGAATATTATTGTGTTACAATCAAATGTTAATCATAACTCGTTAAAACTGTTATAATAACAGTAAAATTGCAGTATGTTTAAATGTATTTTTAATACTTAACAGCATTAAACATTTGTTTCAAATAAATAACTTAATCTTTATTTTAAAGATCTATTTTGGGCCAGGTTGAACAGAGGCTTTCAAGTGCAGAATCTGATTAAATTCAGGAAGAAGAATGGTTTAATTTGGCTTATTATTTAATTAGATGAAGCTTGACTTCCTTCTGTGATGCTCTATTGTAAAGGAGATGAAGCTTTGCAATTCTCAATTAAAACTAACAGAGCAGTCTGGATTACTTACAGAATCGTCTTCTGCATCGGCCTCACCATCTGCCTCTGTATCTTCAGGTCTCAGCTGTCTACCTGAAGCTGGAATTATCAAACAAAGCATCAAACAATTGTTTTATCTATTATAGCAGTGAAAAAAAAAGTAAAGCTTGATGTAAAATTAAAATGTAAGCATTATAGCTGATCTAGTAGTAGTTGTGGCCAACTAATTCTGCCCCTCAATGGATATTTAATGGTTGTGCAGTAATGATTTTTCATTAAAATATGCCTTCAGTCAATAGTTCATGAGACATACACAAGCATTGTGAAGTGGCAAAGTGCAGAGGACACATCTTATAGACCTCTTGGTTTGGCTAGATTAGAATGTACGATATTACTTAATTCTTTATTCAAAATTTGGGCAACAAATGAAATCTTGGATTCTCACTAATAAGCATGTAAGGATTCTTTCCAAAAATTAATAATAGGCCAAGTTGTATACTAGATCTTATTGAAAAAAAAAATATCTTCCTGCTGTTTCCTATCTTGTTTCCTATCTCTTCATTATAATTGAGATGTATAAGAAACAAAGTTAGGCCAGTACAATATAACCAAAACTATATATTTAAACAAAGTGGATTCATTCTGTAATCTGAGAATCTGTATTTGACTGAGGCAAGGCATAAATGTAATAAATAAACATTATATTATTGTATATAGTTTTGAATTTTGCACAATTTATTCTAGTTCCACTACTCATAGGAAGCAGCGAGGGATATGCAGGTCACTGAAGCCCCATTTTTCACTACTAATATACTTATTCACCCACCCTTTTGACATTTGAGATTTGACAATTATTTTGTAGATACCATTAAATCCTTTTTTACATCATAAGGATTTGAAATTTCATCCAGCAGCCAAAGCTAAGCTCTTTGAATTACCATTGGTTTAATAGAGATAGAGATAAATCAGTTTGGGTATAGTCAAATTGTACCCCTTCATTTGAAAGAAATCTAAAAAATTAATTCTATAATATTAACACATTTAATTTTTGTTTATAATAAAAATGGACATACAGTATAGGTAGAAAACCCATCACCGGTCACTTCATCTCTGTGTTCTTTGAGCAATGACTGGTAAAAATACTCTAGAGAAAACAAATCCAAAACACCTTTGGACCTTCAGAAGCAGGGGCAGAGCTACTGGCTCCATGCCAGAATGTGGGCCTGAATAATCATCTCATAATGCTGGTACAGTCGCTGGCCCTGCGGCCATATGACAGTGGCCATTCTCGTGGCTGGAGATGGCTCTTTTTATTTTTTCCAATTCAAGGGAATGTTGGAAGCAAATTCGGTAGGCAGGCTTGAGACTGTCAGCTAGATCTCTCTCTAAAACCAGAACGGACTTAGACCAGATTTGGTGAGGGGAGAGGAACAAGAAAAATAAAAAGTGAGTTTGAAAATGGGTCAAGCCAAGTCAGGGGCTGCCTTGAAAAATCATTCAGAAAAAGTCACCCAATGGGGGGTGCAGTTGGTTTGTGGTTCCAAATGTTGCTGATTGTTCTTTTCTAAGCCCCGTAACCATATGCAGCCTACCCTGTGCTTTTCACTGCATATATACATAGAAGCACACAGAGACACAATGCAAGGGAAGAGCAGAAATGCATGCACACACGCACACACACACTGGCACAAGACATAATGTTACACCAAATAAAATACAGGCACCTCCTATGGCCACTGTTGATGAAGCAGTTGGAAAGAATTCCAGAAGCCATGCTCTGCATGTTTCCCCTACCTTATAGGGCTTTTTAAAAAAAATCTCTTGAGATGAACAAACAAACATAAAAAAGGGATAAAATTGAGCGCCTAAAGCATAGGTTACCATTTTGCTTCTTAATCCTCCTCTTCAAAACCAAGAAACCCCCCCCCCCCTGATTTTACCCCAGACAAAAGGTAAGCATGTCTGTTTTTAAAAAAGGGTGTCTTAAGCCACACCTTTCTAAAACAGGCTTTAGTCGTTACCCTGATCTACTGAGGGGTATTCTAGTGGCTTCAAAAGGAATGCTGGAGGCCACACACCCAGCCCATGAGTTGCTCATGCCTGCCCCATAAGAACAAACCAGTCAGCTCTGTTTCAGCTTTTAAAAAAAGCTTAAGTTTCTCTCTTTGAAACTATGTTTCATAGTCTTATGATGCTAAAATGCTCTGATCAGTCATTACTCCTACACTTGCTTGCAAAATTATTCCCTTGTTTTGAAAGCAGTCCAGTGGCCACTGGGAACAGTGACAGTAATTAATTTCATCATGTTTGTGAAAAAAAAAAAGCTGAGACAAAATGCCAATTGTCAAGGATTTATGAAAGAATGAAAACTTTGCTAATCTTTGCAGGAAGAAAAATAGACTAAAGTTTTTTAGTTCAAATCTTAACAAGCAGTAAAATGCTCAAACTGGGATTTGTTTTATTTCTGATTTTCAAAAGCTTGTGATTAGTATCTTTGAAAATCAGGCTGTTAATAAAAGTCTAAATGCTTGATGACTCATTTTGATGGAAATTTAAACAGCCAGGATAATATTTAGTAACTTACAGATCTGGGAGATCTTCTGTTTGTCGTAGGCCTAGAAGTTCACTTTAGTATTTGCCTATAGCACTTGTAACCATAAGGTGTAGTCCTGACCCAGATTTTTATCTCTCTACAACCTACAACAGATGTCCTCAACCCCCTTGGGTTATCAGATATATTTGGAATTTGAGAGCGTATTGTGGAAACTTCCTCAAAATGGCTGTTGTAGGGAACATAACAGGTGTTTAAATGCTCATTTAAAACAAGGTGAACTTGCTACGAGGGTTTCCCCAGTTAGATGTTCCCTACCATACTTAGCTTATCATTGCCTGTTTTTCTAGACAGGTGGACATACTGCAAAGCAAAGCACTGAGCTGCAGCCATCTCATTGCTTTTATTTTCTAAGAACATCTATGAATCTCATGTGAGAACCAGAGCTTGTTTTGGAAATAAATAATAATAATAAAGGCCAGTAATTTGTTTTGTACCATGCCTGTTTCCCATTTCCTTTTTTAAATAAAAGAATCTAAATTAAAAAAAAGTAAAATCTTAGAAGACCCCTCAAGAGTACAAAGGGAGATGATTCTTCCATGTTCTGCAGGTTCTTCCATGTTCATCAGTCTGCAGGTTCTTCCATGCTCCTCAGTACCACATTAAGAGGCCAGTTTGGGTCAGGCAGCAAGTAGAGCTCACCCTAAAAACTTGTTGAAGCTAATGTTATCTTAATCACATTATATTAGACCATCTCTCTGCGATTCTTCAAGGCCCTGAAGAACCTTACAACTGATCTTTCTCCATGAAATTGTGCCTTGATTAGAGTATGATCAATTAGTGCTTTGCATTACATTGTAGGCATTAGGAGAGTGGTCTTGTTCACACAAACTTTAGGTCATCAGTATGGTTGTTTAATTTTACAACAGTGTTTATTACTATTCATTGGCTACCTGAAATTTTCTGAGCTGGTAGATCTATTACAAATCTTGTAAATAGCTCTTACAACCAGGTTTAGTGGCAAGATGGGGAAATAATTTCCAAACCCCTACTTATGAACCTAGATATCTACCACCCAGGATCAAGGAGGGGGATATGTCCTCTTTCCTTATAGAGTACAACCCTCAAGGATTAAGCCTAAGGAGGAGGCAATACAAATAAGAGTAAGGAGCATCAGGTCTTTTCCTTCACTTCTGTTTTGCTCATGCATCTTTAGATTTCCAAATTTGCTTTGTCTGACTCCTTCACGATCAGCTTTGGATATGAAAATATTATCCATTTCAAAAATCCACAACTGCTCTTACTAAAATATAATACCCCCAACAGTTAAGGTACTCTTGTCCAGCTTTGGTTGTGTGCAGTTGCTTGTGCACATGAGCAATGATTTTATTCAATTCAAAGGTGCACCCACTAAACACAACGGGGTACAGATGAAAATTGCAATTCTTATAAAGGTACATAGCAAACTTAGCATAGCACTTTCCAGGGTGAGAGTGGAAATGTATTCTTAGAGTACACATATGCTAATTTTTATTTTAAAAAAAATCTTATAAAAGCATACATCTGCAATATTTAATTTTACCTTCCATTTAGATATACTACATTATAGAATGGAGTAGCAATGAAGATGTATGGATTTGCATAATTGCTTTATTATCCCTAATTACACCACTTAGCTTGAGCAATTTTTGGCCATTGATCTACTAAATATTCTGCTTTTGTAGTATAAATAACCAAAATGTTATTTCACTTGATGTCATCAGCATCAGTTTACTTTAATACCTCTTGTACTTTCTCTGCAGAGCTCTTAATTTTCAGATCCAATTACAAATGGAAATGGTTAGTTAATGCTGTATTATAATAGTACACAAAGTTTTCATGAACTCTAGACTCCTGTTACCAAAAGGAAACTCGTCACAGATTTACTTTCCAAAACTACGTTCTTCTTGGAATATTATATAGACAATTTGATCCAGGCCATGCTAAATCTTCGACTGACATCCCAATAGGCGATGAATCAAAGAGGCTTAACATTTTAAGATAGAAGACAAAAGGCACTCATGACTGCTTTTTCATCCCCCCCCCCCCTACACTTGGGGATATCTCACAATTTCCAGATATGGTCACAATATTCCTTTGCTAATCTCTACAAGGGTGCTTAAATCCTGGGAATGTTTTTTTATCTAGGTGACACAACTCAAGTTGCAATTGATATACACATTCACTTTTAACATTTTTCCCTGTTAATTTAATTTTAAAAAGTGGGGGAAGTAGTCATCCCACAAAGCAAAGTACCAACTTTCCACATTTCCATTAGGTGGAATGAAGCAGCAGTTTTGAACAGTGGTCTGGATCATATGGCAAATTGGGGCCAAGCACTTACCCACTGCCCTCTATTTTATTATCTCTGACGACTGCAGTTCTCTGGAATGGCTTGCTACTCCACTGGCTTTGATACAGGTCCTCCGAACCACATCGAGTGAGCTCTACTCCCTTCAACTGTGTGAGCTCTGCTCAATTGCTCCCAGCCATGTGCCTCTTCCTACTG